ATTTCAAATTTTAGAATATATCAGGAGACAGGGATAAGAAACAAAAGACAATGATTGAAACACGAAGATTCTTATTATACGAGCACATGCATGGACAAATGTACATTTTATAGTCAATGTGGTATTTATTTGATTTCACTCGATGAACAATGAAATTAATCAATAACAAGATTATCTTATATGCGATGACAGTTTTACGTCAACCAACTAGTATAATGTCAAAACTATAATAATAAATTACGATAAAATAATATATTCATACAATTTGATCATACCAATGAAGTTATACGTTTTGCACAAATGATTGTATAAACGTAATGCGTTATCTTTGCTATAATATAATAATATTAACTATTGCATACATACTAAATACAAATAATATTATGTTTTAAATTCAAAGTAATATTTAGCAATAATATGTTATAAAGCAGTATACTACTAGTTCGTGTGTGTATTTAAATAACGTAATAGTTGGCCAAATGTAGGTAGATCTTTCGATTATGATGACCTGGTTGTCAAAATTATTTTAAAAGATTCTGGGTAATTGACATGTAGAGGTTTGAAAGCAGACAACAGTTTAGATAAAAAGTAATTATTTAAGTTTAGATCATTTGAAAAAATCGTGTTTAAAAATAATTGTGAACTGTTAGTACCGATTGTTCATACAGAAAAAAAATTTTTTACACAATAATTGTCAATTTAACTCATTATTATTATCAACTAACTATTGTTTTGGTTTATATTTGATCCTTGTAATAAAAATATATTGTCACGTGTGTTAGAATACAGTAAAGGACAGACGTTGAATTCTTATAAATAATACAATGAATTTAGAAAAAAAAGACATGTGCATATCTCGATCAGCCCTACTTTTAATCAAAGTATAGGTATTATCGTAGTATGTATTTTACAAGCCTCGTTGTCTAAAGACTTAAACCTGACCTATAATCTGGTTGCTTTTGTCTCTCGTCCAACCAAATTTTCACCCTATCCAATTACACCGTTGTTGGCCACAACAATGTAATAATCCTGATAATAATGCTGAAGGTTTAGTAGAAGCGTTATATATTATGATCAATATGAATATTCCTTTAATTGTATGCCACATGACTATTTTCTCTAAAGTTTTACTCGAATTTACGATCCAAACCTATGCAATTTAATCAGCAGTAGTTTACACACTACATACAGTATTTTTCAATACCTACAATACATTTTATAAATAGGTGAGAGTTGTGGAGGTGTATGAAGAAACACCATTTATACAAGAAACGTATTAGTTATATTAATATTTGTATAATATAACATCTTTTAATTTTAAGAGCTGTACTCGAAAAATAAATATCATTTTTGTTGGCCCAGAGGTCAAGCAATGACACGGAGAATCATTTAAGAATCATTGCAATGCCATTACATAGCATTGCACAACACTTATACACACTTGTGGTCGATAATGCAAAAAAAAACAGTTGATCATAAATTTAAATCAGCATCCGTTACTTTATCACACTGCATGATACTATTTTTCACCTATTTGGGTAACCATAGGGTGAATCCAGTGATTAAGAAGCAGAAAAAAAGAACTGTGTTGACAGTTGAAGTAGATGAACAAAACCTCTTCAAGAATTTATAAATTGTAGCAAACACTAAACAGTATTAATTAATTCTGACCACTGTTTTTGATCTATAAAATACCGTTTTATCTTCGCTGTTGGCATATACAAATATATTACATTGTCGTGTAGTGTCTAAATGGGTCCTGAACACCTCAATCCCAATGATTAAGGAATATGGGCGAGTTGAGATAGAATGTATAGCCACTTTTTTTATTCCAAAATTCTCTGTAGGAATAAAAAGTTGTATATGCATATTGCATATACGATCTTTATTATAAGGTTGATACTGATAATTTTTCGTTCTCTTGGTTATTTGGCACCTCTGACATTAGTTATGTTGAACAGTTGAACATGTACACAACATTTGAACATTGTCACTCAATATAAAGTTAATTTGTCTAGACAGTCGTCTATCTAGTGATTTTATTTTCTCAATAAGAACAGGTTTTTTCGCTTATACTTTAAAATTATTATTTTGTAAATCATTTGATAACTACATTTTTGCTAAAATTAGTTAGCTCTGTCATGCATATTCATATGTCGGGTGACGTAGTTGGCGTATTGAATTACCATCCAATTTCTATTATAAATCACTTTCCGAGCACACTGAGTCTATTATGTTACGTCACATATAACCTTCAGTTAATAGCAAACTGCGTGACAAGTAGCATGGCTTTCGTCCCGAACGTTTGACACGGACATGCAATAATATGCCTTCACTAAGTATGTTATGGATGCGTTTTCAGAAAATATCCAGGTTGATTTAATCTATATTTTAGACTTTTCAAAGTATTTCGATCGGATAAATCAAACAGTCCTAAAAAATTTTTTGATTCAACTTGACATCGATTAGCTGTTATAAGCTTGGTTTCGTTAGTAATTATCAAATAGAAAACAATTCCTAAAAGTTAATACAATACAATTTCATGTATTCAACGGTTTCTTCTAGCAGATCCACCTCTTTCCATTGCTTTTTTCATTGGTTACAAACGGTGTAAAATAATATGTCGTACAAATAAGCAAATTCGCGATATTTGCTATTGACTTAAAACTTTTCGTCAGAATCTATTGTGGTCGATTGTCAATGGCTAAAATAATATGATCATATTGCAGTAAATATACTTGGGATTTTACCACGGAATCCCATGATATTCATAAATACAGTTTAATGTCATTTTGTAGATATCATTCACAATTGTTTTTGATTATAATGTCAATGGAACACTTAAACGTATAGGAAATCAGTTAGTGACTTAGTAATTATTTTCGAAATTATATTTACCCTCCAATCAGTCTAATTATACAATATAAAAATATCATATTAGGCACTATAACTTTTTGGTTATGTTAAATGTGTTTGTGCTCAATATAAATTAACTGTACTATGTCCAAGTTTGGTATATCGGTGCACATTATACATAATAATATGTATTAAGGTACCTACATACAATGAATCATAGTTATTTTTTAGAGCAAGTGCATTATAAATGCTTGTATTTTACTGGGAGTATATTGAAAATGGATCACTTTCCGCAAGATTCAACCCCTGTTTTTTTATCTCTAAATTGTCCTCTCTGGTTAATAACTTAATAACAAAAGTTATCAAAGCCATTTTGGCTTGTTTTTAAGGAAGTTACAATCAGAATAAATAATTTATCTATCTCTTCTTTGCTTGATACCATTTAAATGTCCTTATTTTTCTCCACGTAGACATGCCCTTTATCCTTTGTTCTTTTTACTGCACCAATATATCACTCTACAATAAATTATGTATGGACATAAGAAGGACGTGGAATGTATATATGTTTGAATATATTAATTATATCAAACCATTTTTCAAATGTATATTGTTACAATTAAAATAATAGAGAGAGTTGCATACTAACAGTTTATAGGAGTCATAATACAAAACAAATACAAATTTTAATACGCAGATAAGTACCTAGGTATGTTTATTTTATATAATTTACTTCTAAAGTGTTGTTTCATAGCTAAGATTGTCATTCAAAAACACGCCAGTTAAAAAAAAAAACTGTCAAAGATTGTTACCATTTGAATACTAAATTATACTTCTGTCGCTGCAGAATATATTTCAAAATAGATTTAAAAGCATAATCGTAAATAAGGAGTTATTTTAGATTGAGCACTTGGCTTTATTTAAAATACTAGAGATGTATTGTGATTATAGCACTATGCGTTTGCATAAGAATATAATATCAACATTCCAAATAAATTTAATCAAACAATCCGTGACCCAATATACCAACAATGTGGCATGACAATTCTGAAGATGCATAGATCACAAGAGTATTATCAACAACCGAAGGAATTAGTTGGGATGTTTGTGTTGGACAAAGAAACAGAGAGAATGTGGACTTTATAAAAATATGGTTATATATTATGTATACACTAAACCGTTTTATAAATATATATATGTCCTTATGAACAAATATAAAAGTGGGGGGAAACTTACATACTGATTTGTTTACAGTTACTTAGATAAAATAAATAGTAATATTAATACACAGCATAGACGAAAAAAAACCTAACCGATGGTGGCCAATCTCGATGGGTGGTAAGCGAAAAACTGAACAATGTATAGAGTTTGGTTGGTCGACGATATCGGCAAGACTACACAAAGTATACGAACCGTAAAATATTATATAATATATACAATAGCATATATTGTTTAAATGTATCGTTATTGATAGCGATAAATATGATGAACAGTATGACAAACGTCGAAGCGTGAAAGGAAAATATACATACAGCGGCCAACTGGACATATAATATTGTGTACAGTGGACATTAATGGTGACAACAGCAAGATAGAACGATCGTTATTTTATTAAAAATCTAACGGGCTAAGTGCAATATTTGAATGTTCACTTAAATCTTCAATTAATGTGAATCCAATCGTTGGACAAAGGCGGTGAATAGAGGACACGGTGGACGGTACCACGTCCACGCATAACAACGGTAGTCATACTAATATTAATTCATAGCTAACGCTATTGATACAATACCATATTACATTGTTGAGAATAAAATATAATTGTTATGCACATTTTATTCCAGGGTTGTAATAATAGTTAAATTTAGAAAACTATTAAATATTTCGGTAGTGTTTTCTTTTTTTAGATTTGTTGATTTAGAAAAATACAGATTATATTAATAAAATATAAAATGTATTTTATGTTATAGCACGTAATTAAAAAATCAAAACATATCATTAACTTAACGATTTACATGATAGATTACAGTGACAAAAACAGTCTACACTATATAGTCATGATATGAGCTCATTAGAATTACTTCTCGTCAGCAACTCAAGTGACGCTTAGAAATTCCATTTACTCGACAATAATGAGTATGCACACGTACCTATCTCGCAGTATGCTCCTTCATAATTTTTATCGCGGCATTGACATTTTGGCCCATCGTCTGTAGATATGCAAATTCCCCCATGTTGACAAGGGTCGTGTTTTTCGCAGGCATCCGAATTACCTCCACCGCGGTGATGTCCATTAATTCCTCCATTGATAACCTGCCACAAAATGTAACGAAATGTAATTATTTTTGATACAATTAGCTATAGAATACCGAGTAAATTGAACTAAATAATAAAATTATTACAGATTGGTTTTAAAAAAAAACCTCTTTTCTACCCGTCAGTGTCCCTATTATGAATGTTCCACAATATGAATCATTATTAATTATACACCCACATCTTAAAACTAATTTAAACATAACATAGACATTACTTTAAAATTAAACATGGGCGATAAAGAGATAACTGCTTCGCATAAACTGTCTAATAAATTAATTGTAATGATAAATCAATGAAAAATACGTGAAAAACAATTTACATAGTTATATGTCTTAGTACCTCGTGAAGTCTTATTACAAATTAATGCATGATGATACATTTTTAGAATTGTTTTTGTTTTACACTTTTTGTTTCACAATAGATGAAATGTATTATTAGAGCAATTACCGATTTCATAAATGTATGTTTGAATTGTATATTATTTTCAATAATTCATAAAAAAGCTGCATGAACAAATCAATTGCATTTGTTTGTTAATACCTCAGAGCATATAATGCAATGAGACAAAAAACTGGATACAAGCATTTATAATAGGTACACACAATTATACACCATTATAAAATCAATAGCTAATTTATTGAAAACTCCCCCACTGTTTTAATCTAAAACTTCTATTGTTTTAATTTTAAAAATAATAATTGGAATTATTGAATAAAATAGTTACCGATTCTGATTGTTGTATTTTTTTTAACATACAATTATTTCATTTTTATTTAATAACTTTGCATTAAAACTTAGTGTTTAAAAAGTATTTGTTATACTCCCTGAATACATACAGATACAATTAATTTTCTTTACTTTTTATACTTTTGTTTCTTTATTTTTTTTTTATTATTCCCTTTAAGCGGATCATGATAAAGCAAACCGGTAATTTCATACAGCCAATAATTTTATCAGGCATAGTAAATGTGGTTACAAATAGTATTTTGTATTGTGTAGATTAAATGTGTGTATTTCTATGTATGTAAATATTAAAATATAATATATATATATATATATTAAAGAAACATTTACAAAAGAAATTATGACTGATAGGTATATGTATTGTTTATAACGAGACTTAGATTTATTTGGGCGAAGTAATGTTAACTAATGTTTCACGTTATTATTAAGTTAAATTTGAATTTTTTGAGTTTTGAAAATTATAGTGCTCTAGAGTTATTGTCATTTATATTTAGTTTAAAATATTATGTTGTGATTATGTAAAAAAAATACAACTTTACGATCGTTATGGCAATCATTTATTACAAATTAATAACTGTACATTAAATACTATTATTTTAAAATATTCTCATAGTTTAAGTTAAGCAATTAGAACCTACTGCAATATTGTTAAACCAAATACAGCATGGCATTAAATAGATAGGGTGATTACATAGGTGATTACTAAATAGATGTTGTTTCATTTGAAAATTGAAAAAAAAAACTAAAATAATAGCCTACATTTATAATATTTCTATACAAATGTTACATTAAATAAGAGACACCATAGGAATATTATATGACGTACATATTATGATGTATATCGTACGTTGTAAATGTAATATAACATTGTACAGTCATACAGGTATATAATATTATATTATGCATGGGCAGTAAATAAGAATGTGAAATGTATTTGCATTTTGCTCCATTACACATACTTTCAAGATGATAATATGTTCAAAATGTTCATATTATATACGTTTTGATATGTACATCACTCAGTTTCCATGTCGTTGAAAGAAAAAAAAATGAAATGATGACGAATAAAAAAAAATTCATATTTATTTGCATACCTATATAATTATATAGTGAACGTAATTTATTTTCATCAGCTTATAGAATTTAATATATATATATATATTGTAGCTTCGATAACATGATGTACCTACTGATAAAATGAGTGTACACAAACTTGAGTATTTTACAATAATATTGTATAACCATCATGCAAAATAATTGGAAACAATCTGCGTATACGACAGTTTTTTTTTTTTTTTTTTTTTTTTTTTTTTTTTTTCCTGAGCCCGGCAACTGTGGCCATTAGCTATTAGTAGGTACTGTAGGTTTTTGTATTGATGGTTTGTAGGTTTTTGGAACGGTAGGGGGAACACGTGTGTGTTTGTTTTGGCAGAATTTCGAATGGGGCACCCGTAGGTTTCTGCCATGCCCCATACGACAGTTTATTCAATAGTTTAAATTGTAATTGATAAATTTTTTGCCAACATATTTCCCAATTTGTATAGTTATCAAATAAAAATTAAAGTTAATTTATGCGGAAATCATAAAATGTCTATTTTATATTTTGGTAAATTAATATTTAATAGATAAATTTAAAAAAAAGTCGAAATTGAATATTTTTATTTTTATTTTCGATGCATTTAAAATAAAATATTAAAATATATGGAATATATGTGATGCTCATACCTGTGACGTGATCAAAATTAATTATCATTAAAATTTGTATGCTTGTCATAATAGGTAACATAAATAATAAAAAACGTATAGATAACATATTTTACATACTATACAGACAAAATATTGTAATATGTTTAAACATGAATGTGATTATTTCAGAAACCTAATATCGATGAAATAAATTGAAAACATATATTTATTGGATTTTCATACAACAGGAAAATTGTACGTGTACTGGTGTAAATATTACGTGAGTAATTAATAACAAATTGTTTATTTATTACATTATTATGCACTATAGGTAATCACAAACGTGGTTGTTGTAAGTGCAGTCACGATTCTTCAATATGTTCTTAAGCCCCAATGTGACAACAATAAATTTAAAACAAACAGGCTTAACTTAATCATAAACAACAAATACAGAATTTATGATGCTAGAATGTGTTAGAACAGAAAAAAGGTTACTCTTAAAATTACTTTAAATCTCTACATAGGTACTTCCCCCCCCCCCGCTTACAGTGTTAATGGAAATAACTTTATAAAAAAAGTGTTATTTGACTGTATAACTTTTATAACCATCGAAAAATGTCTTTTAATAGCTAATAGAACTTAAACTATAATAATATAACAGTAATTGACAAATTTTATCTTCAGTGATTTAACTCTATTGTAACTTACGTCTTAATTTAATTTAATTTATTTTATTAGTTGATAACTTTATTAGATTGTATTGGTTGCTATTTGGTTACTATACGATAATAATAATATAGGTACTAAAATAGTTTTATAAATTCCGGAAATGCTATAAAGAGTACAATATAATATAGCGTTGTCCATAATACATGTTTGAGTAGTTATTAATCGTGTGTTTAAGCAGCATTATACCACTTCAAAGAATGTTACTTTTTTATCCGTATGTAATAAAATAGTATGGATGCAGTTTTAGTATTTTATAAACCACCCCAGGCCCAGTCTCCAATAATACTGAATTGTTTAATGGACTCGCGTATAGGTTAATACATAGTTATTGGTCGTTCATCGAATAACCAATTCAATCTCATTGAATAATCATTCATATTATTTCTGTATAAAAGGTCATTGCATACATGCTTCAAAACTATTTCGATCATAAATGATATAATAATCGTAATAATCCCACTAAAAAAGTAATTTAGACAGTATTCCCACGATGTTTAAAATGTTCACACTTACTATTACATTATTATATCGAAACTAAGTCAATTTTCAATACTCTGATCATTAAATATTACACTCAAAATGCAGTATAATCGAGATTGTTTATTGTTTTATTATTAATGATAAGTCGGTGTTGGAAGATTAAAACCGTATAAAAGCTTATAAAATCGATGCTTCAGTATGCTTTCCAATTGCTTTATACAATTTTATATAGTAGTGTATAATATTTATCATCGTTAGTTGAAAGGCACTATCTAATCGTATTAGCGATAATATTTTAAATTACCTTACTGTAAAATGTAAGTGAATCCAACAATTTATAATACAAATAATAGTTATACAGTATACACATTATTAATCTTACATGCTGAAAATTAATATTTTATTTGATAACAGTAGAAATATCAGTAGAAATATAATAGATTTTTCTATTTTATTTATTCAGCATTTTGTCTTATTACCTAAATTCATTATTAGAATGTCACATGCAAGAAACTATTAAAATTCTCTGCATATATGAATTTGTTTGTATGGATAATAACCATTTAGAGATGGTAATAATAGTAATATGTAACAGTTTCAAATATTTGAATTATTTGAATTAATGAATAATATAAGTATTGATACAATGCAAACGTATATACCTATGCGTTTAAATTACTTATTCAAATTTTCTCTTTGAAAATACAGAATTGTACACGTCTTCTATAATTTTTATGTATCTAAAATATTTGCATTACATACTTTCCAATGTTGTTTTATTTTTTTCACAAATTTCAGATTATTTTTTTGTATTTCGGCCAAGAGTTCATTCACATCATGATTTATTTTGAAATTATCATCCGAATAAAAACAGTAATATTAGAATTTCAACAGAAATTTGTTATTGTATCGTTTCATCTAAAAATCACAACTGGCATATTTCTATGCATATTTTATTTCAATCAATAAATCAATCACATTTTAAAGTTACATTTAGTTATAATATACGTAGGTAGTATATAATAATACACACATAAAACCTAGTCATCAAAACATTGGTTACATTTAAAAACTATAAACATAAAATGTAAGCAATCTGTTTAAAATATTCAAAATATTTTTTCATTGAACAAAACAGATGGAATTGCCTATTATTATTATATAACCGGGGAAAAAGCTACGAGGGCACAATATTTTTATTATTTTCATTTGACTCTGCAATGACCGATGGAATCGTTTGATACTCAGTGAGAGTATAGCATTGATAACCACTTTTATAAAATTAAATAAAAAAATGTATTTCTCAAATGAATCAAAAATATGTACGCGCAAACAAAATAATGTCTGCTTTCGGGTAC